GAATAATTTTTTGTCCGAATAAAAAGCGATTCGTCAAGATCCAATTTTACTTTTTCGCTCTATGGCATTCAATCAGCATCAGTTAATTCCAAGACCGGACATTAAAGTGGGTTTCAGGCTTAATGATGAATATGCTGATACTCTGCTTCCACGAATAAGAAAATTATTACGTTCTAATCCTCATTCGAAACGGTAAGATCATAATTATCATTTTATATTGATTTCCTTAAAAAAAAAAAAAAATTAATATCAGATTCGAATTTTATCAATTTAACAATTGTTCTTTTAAAAATTAATAGATTTCCCGGAACACAACCTGTTGATTTTGAATTATGTCACTTCGATTTATTGGAATCAGAAGAGTATTTTGTACGAGATAAAACTGACGGGAAGAGATATATCATGTTTTTCACCGCTAAAGACGGTGGTACGGTATTCATGGTAAGTTCAACTTATTTGACATATTTGGAAAGTACGCGTGCTCATAAACTTTCTTTCTGATCTGTTTGTTGATTATCTAATCGATCAACAATTTACTTAAAATTCAGCTGGACGAATCAAACAAGTTTCGATTCCTGACTAATTTCAAGTTACCCCAACGGCATAATCCTAATGCAATACACGATGAGACTATGATGGATGGTGAGATAGTAATGGAAATCGATGACGACAGAGTATTTTATCTGAATTAAGTTTTAATTTTATTTTTTAATTTCCAAAAATTAATTGCCAAATTAATTTTATTCCTTTTTTATGATCTTCAGAAATGTTTACGATACTTAATATTTGATCTAATGGTCTTGAATGGAAGCATTCTTATAGAAAGACCTTACAATAAACGGATGGGTGTACGTTCATATTTGTGATTAATTTTATTTAAATCTTTAAGATTCATTTCTTAATCATTGATAATTTGATTTTGGTCATTTTTGTTTTCAGATGTTAAAGCAGGACGTGATCGAACCATTAAATGCTGCGTTGAAAAGAAATCCAGAAATGAAAAAAAGAATGCCGTTTACGTGAGCATTATGTCTAATCACTACTTCATGTATTAAATTTATTAATTTTTAATTTCGTGCTAAATTATTATCATCATCATCATCATTATTTCATCTATAATATCTATGCTATGTAAAAAGGATGGAAATCAAATCAATGGAATTATCTTACGGATTGATAAATACTCTACAAAAAATTCCTTCATTAAAATATGGAAACGACGGTTTGATATTTGTTCCGGTAAACCATCCGTACGAACCTGATATGTGTCGCAAACTGTAAGTTATATTTGTAACTATTATCCTTTACCATAATCGGTCATTTCCTTAAATCGGATTGCAATCTTTAATAGACTTCTGTGGAAGCCAGTAAATCAGATGTTCGTTAACTTTAAAATCAAAGTTATCAAACATAGGGATAAGAAGCCTATATATCAACTATTGATCGCTAATGATGATAATACTCATAAATTTTATGATTATTTAACCCCGGATCAACAAACCGAGGTCGAGTGAGTAATTAATAAATTTTACATACACATGATGTTCATATTCGGTTAAACCTATTTCTTCGACACTCCGTTTCCATGACTCTGTTTCTCCGATAGGATATTTCCCCAGAAATCATTTCTTTTAAAAATAATTAGGTTTAATTCTAGAATAGTTCTATCGGTTATACAATATTTGGGTAAATACAAAAAGAATTCATGATAACCGGTAAATTATGTTAGGAAAAATTTATTAGTAAAATACCTTGTCGGTGAAACTTCCAGTTAGGGAATTGTTGTCGAGGAAAGAGGGCGTGTCGGATCCGGTTAATTTAATATTAATTTGTTAATTTTATTATCAGCTGGATTAAAAATGTTCACGATGGAGATATTGGTCAATTCTGGTAATATTGTTAATGATATTAGATACTTTAATATATGATGTGTAAGTAAAAAGTACGTTAATGTGAATTAGGTATGATGAACACTGGAACACCATGATTTATGATGCTGATCCACACATCCGGCATGGTGGCTGGCGGTAATCGATCATATTAATTATTTTTGTAGATGCGGATCAATTTAGATTCTTCTATTGATGCTCGCACGCAATATAGGTTTCGTAAATTTAAAAGCGGACAACATACCGCAGATTCGGAAAAAGTATTAGCTGAAGTTTTGAATCGAATAAAACATGCTGTTATAAGAGACGCTGTGGGTTTTGTTCAGTTTCTTATTTACTATTATTTATAATATCTTATTTATAATTTAATTTGAATCATACTAACAATGATATAATAATTAAAGTTAGAGGAACGAGTCACTATTATAAGAGAGAAGTGGAAACTTCGACAATCTAATAGAGCTAGCGGTTCACAACCGCTACCTACATCAATACAAACCTCAATCACACAGACCAGGTATTTATTCTGTTATACGTTATAGTCAATTCATTTTTAATAATAATTGGTTTCTTCGACGATCAGCTTGTCAGAATCGCTTCACCCTCCTTTCCAGGATTCACGTCAACCTTTGATACGGCATCATGATATTCATAAAAGTAACGAATCACCGATAGAACATCATGATTCCTCGTATCGTTCTCATGACGATTCACAATTGTATCCGAGTTCTCTAGAGAAAAGGTCTCCTATTACTGACAATCAAGCATCAAATGAAAATAAAGAAATACTCGAGAGTCCATCTGTATTGCATGATCATAATCGAGAACAACTCCAGAACCAACCTTTAATAGACACCGAGGAGTATCATGAACATCGAAATTCGTATGAAAATCGAGAAAATCGAGAGCTTGTCGAGAAAAAAGATTCAATTGAGAATCAAGAATCATCAAATCAAAATAATGAATTACTCAAGACTTCAGCTACATTACATGATTGTCATCGTGAACCTCTTCAGAGAATGCCATTAACTCATGCCATATCAACAGAAGAACGTCGAAATTCTTACGAAGATGTCAATTTACATGATGAAGGGATGGATTCTGACGTGTCAGAGGATTTCGCGCAAAGTCGAAGTCCACGAACTCGTAGAAGATCAATTTCAAATACAGAAACTCAAATAACTAAATTTGAATCTACAAGTCCACCAAACAAAGGAGAGTCATTTTCATCAGGATCGGAAAATTCACAGAACCTTGCTGAAGATATTGATCCAGATGCCGATCCATGGGATGCTCCTGATTATTATGAAAGTTCACAAATAGCAAATAATGAATCGTCTTATCCAGAAGATCAATCCGAATATTGGGAAGAGAATGAACATGTTGAATCGTCCGAAAGTTCGGAAGCAGCATTAGATAGTAATTTAATAACAGAGCCTGTGAAACGAGAGATAAATCAACATGAAGAACTCCAAGAATCAGAAGCTTCTATACAACAAGATCAACTCCAAATACGAAAATCTCAACAACATAGGATTTTTGTGCGCGAAAACCAACTACCTATTATATCACATCAAGATTCACGATATATCATGCAACAGGATCAATCTCAAACTCAAAAACTTCAACAACATCGATCGTCTATACATGAAAATCCACAGATCGTCCCGCCTAGGTCTCGACCCCAAATTCTCCAGCGACAATCAGAGTCTCGCATTCCTATGCAACACATTCAACCTCGATTACAACGTATTCCAGACACTTTATCTATACAAGAAATCAAACCCATTATGCAACGATCACAATCTTTAACACGTGAACATCGAATTTATTCACAACATTTACCTAAAATATATCCCATACAACCAACACAATATCCTATGCAAGAAATTCAGCGAACGTCAAATAGACAATTACAAGAATTCCAAGAGAGTGGAAAATTTCCGGAACGAACAGAATGGGAACCTAACATAGGAATTGAAATACCTGAAACAAATAACAATAGCAACTCTTTACCATACCGACCAATTATTCGGCGACACACATTCTCAAGCAATGATAATACCAATATCCAAAACACACGAAGACAAGCGATTAATCCATATTCATTACAACTGTCATCATCTCCTATTGATATTACATCACCAAGTTTATCTAC